TGTATGTGTGTTCCCTCCAGAGTGTGTGTGTGTGTGTGTGTGTGTGTGTGTGTTACCTCCTGTCCAGTAATGAGAAGCACACTGTCCTCTTTCCCATGATGCAACTGTCTGGCGATGTAGTCCAGCACAAGCAGCTCACTCCAGCAGTTATGCAGCAACTTCATCTGATCTCCCACCTGTGGAGCAGAGAGAAAGTGAATGAATGAAAGTAGACAAAATGATTTCCAAATATTTTCATATATGCATTATGTAGATTTTTACACTTTTTATTATAATTTATTTGGTATAAAATATTGTTGCTCAGAAGTTGCTCTTTCATAGTTCAGGAATTATGGAGTTATATTTATATATATATATATATATATATATATATATACTCTAGAGGAGACTTTTTTTATGAGGAAAAAAAGCAGAAGACATCAAGTTTCCATTTGTTAATTAATTTGAATAAATTTTTATTTTGTACAAAGTATTATTGCTCAAATGTTGCTCTTTCATTTAATAAGCAAACTTAATAAGCTATATTTATTAATATTTGTTATTATATAATACTATGTCATTTATTTACAATTATTTCATATTTATATTTGTTTATAGTTTTATATTAGTTATATTTGACTTAATTAGTAAATCTCGGTTGTTTCTCTATAAATGGATAACAACAAACAAATGAGTCAATTATATAATTTAAAAGTATAGAGATATATAAATATGATCAAATGAAAAAAAATATTTGATGAGAAGTATGTTATTTTATTTATTTATTTATTTGACGTTTTTGGAAAATTTGAGTCTCTTCTAAATCTCTATATGAGATGATTTTTTCCCCTTATGAGTCTATTTGCCTTCTAGGTAAAATAACTGAATATTATTAAGAGATCCTATTTTTGATATTGCTTTCCTACATTTTCATTTTTCATTTCATGAATAAATAAATAATAAATAAATATGCATATACATATATACTTACTTTATATATGTGTGTGTGTGTGTGTATGTGTGTGTATATTTTGTATGCGTCTGCTAAATGCATAAATTAAATAAATATACATATTTTCATATTCGGTGCAATACAATGTGAATGTGTCATTGTGCCTACACTCATACACATTCAGACATGTTTAAAAGGAACCTCACCCACACAAAATTTCCAGAGAGCTGCAAGTTTTCCACTGCCAACACAACAGCATTGAGTTACTGTATAAAAATGGAATAGAATGGACTGAACCATCATTCAGGTTAGCAGAGATGTGAGTCCGTCTTCATTTAATAGCCGGCCGCTATTGTGCGTATTCACAGTCCAATTTAGCAGGTGGAATTGGATTGAAAATAGGCAATTATGTGGATGATATAATTCAAACAACTTTCAGCTCACTGTTGCATACAAGATTCGTGACCCTTCAGGAGGGTGGCACAGTTAATTGCAGCAGAAACGCAGTTGTTATTTTTTTTAAAGCACATAGAATTGGACAGCAGCTCCACCACTCCCTTTATGCCATGCTCCTGTTGCCATGGCGAGAGTTCATACGGCACATTCTGCACACAGTGAAGGAAGCTGGAGTCTGTCTGTTGCTGTAGATACGCAGGTACATCGTGTTACACTGCTACACGATCGACAAAAACACACATGCAAAGCTTTCTATGCAAATAGAGGAAAGCAATACTGACGGGAATGTTATTAAATACCACTTCACCATACTCTAAACCAGGGGTGGGCAAGCTTGGCCCTTCCAGGTCACTTTCCTTCAGAGTTTAGCTCCAACTCTAATCAACTCTAGTCTATATATATATACTCTAGAGGAGACTTTTTTTATGAGGAAAAAAAGCAGAAGACATCAAGTTTCCATTTGTTAATTAATTTGAATAAATTTTTATTTTGTACAAAGTATTATTGCTCAAATGTTGCTCTTTCATTTAATAAGCAAACTTAATAAGCTATATTTATTAATATTTGTTATTATATAATACTATGTCATTTATTTACAATTATTTCATATTTATATTTGTTTATAGTTTTATATTAGTTATATTTGACTTAATTAGTAAATCTCGGTTGTTTCTCTATAAATGGATAACAACAAACAAATGAGTCAATTATATAATTTAAAAGTATAGAGATATATAAATATGATCAAATGAAAAAAAATATTTGATGAGAAGTATGTTATTTTATTTATTTATTTATTTGACGTTTTTGGAAAATTTGAGTCTCTTCTAAATCTCTATATGAGATGATTTTTTCCCCTTATGAGTCTATTTGCCTTCTAGGTAAAATAACTGAATATTATTAAGAGATCCTATTTTTGATATTGCTTTCCTACATTTTCATTTTTCATTTCATGAATAAATAAATAATAAATAAATATGCATATACATATATACTTACTTTATATATGTGTGTGTGTGTGTGTATGTGTGTGTATATTTTGTATGCGTCTGCTAAATGCATAAATTAAATAAATATACATATTTTCATATTCGGTGCAATACAATGTGAATGTGTCATTGTGCCTACACTCATACACATTCAGACATGTTTAAAAGGAACCTCACCCACACAAAATTTCCAGAGAGCTGCAAGTTTTCCACTGCCAACACAACAGCATTGAGTTACTGTATAAAAATGGAATAGAATGGACTGAACCATCATTCAGGTTAGCAGAGATGTGAGTCCGTCTTCATTTAATAGCCGGCCGCTATTGTGCGTATTCACAGTCCAATTTAGCAGGTGGAATTGGATTGAAAATAGGCAATTATGTGGATGATATAATTCAAACAACTTTCAGCTCACTGTTGCATACAAGATTCGTGACCCTTCAGGAGGGTGGCACAGTTAATTGCAGCAGAAACGCAGTTGTTATTTTTTTTAAAGCACATAGAATTGGACAGCAGCTCCACCACTCCCTTTATGCCATGCTCCTGTTGCCATGGCGAGAGTTCATACGGCACATTCTGCACACAGTGAAGGAAGCTGGAGTCTGTCTGTTGCTGTAGATACGCAGGTACATCGTGTTACACTGCTACACGATCGACAAAAACACACATGCAAAGCTTTCTATGCAAATAGAGGAAAGCAATACTGACGGGAATGTTATTAAATACCACTTCACCATACTCTAAACCAGGGGTGGGCAAGCTTGGCCCTTCCAGGTCACTTTCCTTCAGAGTTTAGCTCCAACTCTAATCAACTCTAGTCTTCAAGACTACTAGAAAGCTACAGGCAGGTGAGTTTGCCCAAGTTTGCCCATCACTGCTCTAAACAAATCATTTCGAATCTAAAGAATTAAATTTTTGTAGTTATGTAATCAGCTGATTAGTTGCAAGCAACTAGTGTTATTAAATATGAAAATCAAATATATGTCTTTATAGTTCACTCAAAATGCAAAAGAGAAATAAACATGGGGTTGAAATGACATGAGGGTGAGTAAATGGTGATATTTTAATTTTTCATCTATCCTTTTAACCTTGTCATTTGAAAAAACAAATACAAAGCAAGTAATGCTACTTTATTTAAGCTTACTGAAGTAGCTAAAGCTAGTTAATGTTGTGACGTTAGTTAGAATACAAAGAAACAGCTTTAGACTAAAGCTCTTTTGAAGCAAGTCATACTTGAGAAGATAAAATCTTTCTGCATTTCCAGCTGCCTTCAAGAACTGCCTACTTTTATTAGCTTGAAGTGAACCTGCTGCAATCTAGTGTTTAGCAATGCTACACTCTAAAAATGCTGGGTTGTTTCAACCCAACTTTTTTTTTGAGTGTAGCCATTACTGTAAAGAATCAAGGAACGATCAAATGATAGTATGATTTACAGCAAAGTGCTCATGCTGAAAGTAGAAACAACGTTACAACTGCTTCCTCAAGTTCAGAGTCACATTACAAGTGCTACCGCAAAACTGTACAGCCATAATTTACTATCTGAAAACACACCACAAAATGACACATTGAAAATGATACAGAATCAGGGGAGATGCACATGCTCCGAACAACAAGTGTACAGCAGCGGCACGTGCATGACCTGAGCCACATTAAAATGCCCACATTTCCTATTCCTAAACTAGTCATCATTCCCATTAAAACTCTGCATTAAGAATGCAAATAAATTAACAAACAAACAAATAAAAATGTATGCATAGATAGATAGATAGATAGATATAGATATAGATATAGATAGATATATATAGATATAGATTCTATATAGATATAGAACAAACTTCCCTTTTGAATACTGAACCTGCAACTTACTACCATTAGTGTACTAGCATTTTTCAGCTTGTCCTCGGCGGCATCACCATAAGTGCTGTGTGAGGCCGCTTTTGGAGAGTGTCAGATGCCCTTGGCACCCCAGTGTGGGCTATTATATGGAACAGAGAAAAAGCTTTGCTCTGAAAAGATTATGAGTAAAACAAGACCCTTGTCCATTTCTTAGCAGTAGCTGTTGACTCTGAAATCACACACAGACACATACACAGTCACATCCACACTTGAACGCCACAACACTTCCCTGTCAGCACTCTATATATTTTGCAACCCTCATTCATCGGTGATAATACCTGCCCGCTGCCCAAGACTTCAACAAAACAGGCTTTATTCTTGTTGCTATTTCTCTCTTCATTGTATCTTTCTCAAATAAACCTTAAACCCTTTTTGTGTTGCAGGAATTTGAGATTTTGACCCACAAAGACACAAACATCCAGTTGTGTGAATGTGGAAGTAAAAGTCACAAAAAAACCCACAGAGGACAGGAGCTACATTCAGAAAGCAGTTTTAGTGTACTGCTTATACTGTTCAATATAGCTGTTTACTATATACTACATACTATATTACTGCTCAATATAGCTGTTTACTTCTGTTTGTGTGTGTGTGTGTGTGTGTATGTGTGTACCTGTTTTTCTATTCTGGTGGGAACTTAAACCTGAATACACACAGACTCGTGGGGACTCGTGTCACGGTGGGGACCTAAATTGAGGTCCCCACGGGTAAACAAGCTAATAAATCACACAGAATGAAGTTTTTTGAAAATCTAAAAATGCAGAAAGTTTCCTGTGAGGGGTAGGTTTAGGGGTAGGGTTGGTGTAGGGCAATAGAAAATACGGTCTGTACAGTAGAAAAAGCATTACGCCTATGGAGAGTCCCCACAAGGATAGCAAACCAGACATGTGTGGTGTGTGTGTGTGTG